GGGCCCATCCTTTGCCTTTTTAAGCAATGCTATAGTACTTTTTCAGTGTTGGTGCTTATAGAGAGGTAAATAATGCAATAATGCAAGTAAATGCTTATTTAAATGAAACAAGTTTCTGTAAAATTTAAACAGATACTTTGTATTTTGTTTTAAAATTACAATGAACATTGATTTAAATTTGTAGCCTAAATATTAAATTGTGCCTCTCAAGTTTAAGAAACATCTTAAAAATAAATTAAGACTGCTCCATGATTATTTCAACTGCAGGATTGTCTCTATGCTGTTCTCTCTTGTTTGCCTGAAATCACCCCTTTCAGATATGCTTCTGGGTGGAATTTGTCCTCATATTTGTCCACGGCTCTTTAGACAAAATCTGCTACTTTACAATGGTTCTCTTCTCAGGTAAAGGATTTGGCATTAGAAAGTTTCTTAGGAAACATTCACTTAGGAAACCCTAGTTTGTTGAACTCTACATTATAATTCTCTGATTTTCAAAATAATTGGAACACAAACCTTTCCCCAGGTTGAATGTACCCTGTAGCCTGCTAGTTGGTTCTGGTTTTATTTTGTAGGTGGAAGGAATTAACTATCCTGTCAAATCTAGGAATATTTGCTTCTTGCTTATACAGGTGCTTTTGTAGAATTGTATCCTTGCAAGAACCTTAAGGCTTATGACTGTTAATGTTTCTTCAGCCTCAACTGTAGGTTTCTAATAGTGTTTGTGAATAGATGGGCTATTTTCATCGTAACATAATTCATCCTATGACTTCACTTTTATTAGCAAAGAAAAAGAAACATTGATGAGAAGCGTGCCTGGCTTTACCAGACTCTGAATGAAGGCAAACAGCTGGTGGCATCTGTGAGTTGTCCTGAACTAGAAGACCAGATTGTAAAACTAGAAGAACAGTGGTTGTCCCTAAACAAAAAAATTGATCATGAACTACACCGACTGCAAACACTTCTGAAGCATCTGCTCAGGTATATTGCTTAAGGATTGAGTGGTGTCAGGTTTTGCTGTTTTGAAAGACCTCAGGGATTCTGCTAGCAGCCAAATTTTACATGTGGTCTTCCTAGTGTACTGTTTTTCTTAGGCAGTCAAAGCAATTTGGCCCCTCTTTTGGGCTGAGCTAAGTATGGAGTCTAATATTGGCTTAATCAGTTTCCAGAACATATACAGTTAGGTCTAAGGGACCTAGGTATTATAAAATTATACATTGCCTTTAGACTAAGATGTGACTCTTTCCTGCTCTTTTCCAAAAGTTTGAAAATTTTACAAATTTAAATCTTACCTAACAGATGCTTTTGAACAAGTCTTAATAGTTCTCCAGAGAATTTCTTTGCTTGAGTGAGGGAATTTTGTGGGGCTTTTTACTTTTTCTTTTTTGTGGTAACATTGGTTTACAATCCTATAGTCAGGTCAGAGGTAGAGGATCCCACTCTTCAGTTGTGTACTATCTCACCACACCTACCCACAAGCACCCATAGTCCACTGGGCCCATGGTAACACTGTCCACTGGGCCCCCTCCCACCTTCCTGCTAGTAGCTAGTTGAGATTGTTTTGAACTTGAGGAAAGTAGAATTTTATTATAATAGTTTATTTTTACATCATTTTATGCCTTGTTTCCATCTCAGATGTAATCCCTGTGGACTTCCCATCACCAATTCACCCTTGTGCCAACACCATAACCCCATGCACTTCTCCCTCCCCCCCCCCATTTTTGATCCTATTCCACCCCCATAAAATATCTCTGGTATATAGTTGTTTTCCCCTTGATCCTTTATGCTCCTGCTGAGTGAAACCATCCAGTATTTTTCATTTTCTTTCTGGCTTATTTCAATTCACTAAGCATGATCCCTTCCAGCTCCATCCATGTTACTGCAAAAGGCATGAGTTTAGTCTTTTTGATTGCTGAATAATATTCCATTGTGTATATGTACCACATCTTTTTAAACTAGTAATCTATTTTGGGCATTTGGGTTGATCCCATGTCTTGAGGAAAGTAGAATTTGTTTTTAAAGATTTATTTATTTGTGCATACAGAATGGGGGTACAGGCAAGAGACTCAGGGGTGGTGAAAGACTTCACCAGAGACAGAGTGGGGAGCAGAACAGGCAGATCGACGAAGTACACTGCTGCGGGGAGCAGCGGGCAGGTCTGGAGAGGTCTGCCACACCATGTGGTCACCTCCGGGGCAGGGGGGAATCAAACTCATGCTGAAGTGGTTTCAGCTTCTTAGTGCAGTGCTTTAACCCGCTGCGCCACCAGGGAGGGCCGAGGAAAGTAGAATTTTTATACACTAAAATAAGAAAATATGCTGGTGATGCATGACTTAATGGTTTCTAATTTCCTTTACTACTTTGTTCCTGTTAGTTATAACAGAGATTCAGATCTATTAACCAAGTGGTTGGAATCTTCTCAGCAAACTCTGAATTACTGGAAAGAACAGTCACTCAATGTGTCTCAAGACTTGGATACAATCAGAAGTAATATAAGCAATCTTCTTGTAAGTATCTGCCCGTAACAGAATATGGGCAGATAATTATTGGTCAAAAATGAATATCAGTAAAGAATTACCAGGGTTGATATGAAAGTTCCCATAATCATTTGTTGATAAGGAATAAGGCTAGTCACAGCTGCATTTTCAAACTTAAAGGTATCTGTTTATGTAGTTCATTTATAATGACAAAAGTATACTTTTAATTTACCTCATAAACCATACACACACACACATAATTTGTGCTGAAATCTGTTTTATAATGCAGAAAACAGTTCCCCTACCCCTCAAGAATGTCACTGAGTTATTCATAAATGTTAGAGTTGACAAATGTGTGGATTATGAAGTGCTATATACAGGACTGTTATTGGTATTAAAGTGTTTGTTCATGTAAATTTTCTAGTGTGTTCCCTGGTTTATTTTTAAAGCTGGAAGGATAATTTATTTACTTCAAAAAATATTAGTTTACCAGATTATAAACTACCCATAGAGCAGGAATTTCATCTGTTTTGTTCTCTAAGGTAGTTCTTGGAATAGTTCCTAATACTCATTAGGAAAGTGTGTGTGTGTGTGTGTGTGTGTGTGTGTGTGTATCTGTCTGTCTGTGTCCACACTCAGACATGTACACATCCATACACAAATATTCTTTGTATTGAATTCATTTTCTTAGCTTCTCTGTGCTATGTTCAGACTTTAAATTTGTCTAAACTTTAAAACTATTTCCATTAGGAGTTTTCAAAGGAACTTGATGATAAGTCCTCCTTGAAGACAGCAGTTATAAGTACTGGGAACCAGCTTCTTCACCTGAAAGAAGCAGACACAGCTACCCTCAGGGCTTCACTAGCCCAGTTTGAGCAAAAATGGACAATGCTCATAACTCAGCTTCCAGATATTCAAGAAAAACTTCACCAGGTAAGTAGTTAGGCATTTGAATTAGCATTCACTTGTTAGCGCACAACTCTTTTAAAATTATTTCTCTGACTCAATAATTTTCATTGACACTACCTATTTTTCTTTGGCACCACTGAATATAGGTCTTAATTACTAGACTCTCCTCCAATGGGATCTTTCTTAAGAGAGAAATTGGGCTTAATTTATTTCCCAGTTTATCTGTGCCACAGTGTTAGTTTATGTGAAGGTCGTTGTCATTGTTTTGGGGTCACTTATTCTAAGCTTGAATGCTGGGTTTGTTTTTGTGTGTAACCTGCATAATTATGTAGCAAGACCTTTATCAAACCAGATATCATCTTTAATGATGCCCTGATTCATTTTGTTAACTATAGGTAATTAAAAGGAAATCATTTTGTCCTTGTAGCTTCAGATGGAGAAATTGCCATCTCGTAAAGCAATCACAGAAATGATTAGCTGGATGAACAATGTAGAGCATCAAACTGCAGATGAAGGTGCTGAGCACTCAGTCAGCTCTGCATCTGAAGTTAAAAATCTCCTTCAGAAGTACAAGGTAATGATACAAAGGAGCCAGAACTTATTAAATAAGAAGCAAGTCAGTTGGAGGAAAATGAATAACACAGAGACATATACAATATAATTTAGATAAGCTAATTCTGGGGATATGGGATGTGGCTGACGAGAGAGGGAAAGAGAGAGAGCACTTGGTACACTTGCTTTTATTCTGCTTATTTCCTTCATTAGTTCCCATCACCACAGGACTGAATCCAAGGTTTTAGCTGACCTCTCTCTCTTTTTTAAAGATTTATTTATTTATGCATACAGAACTGGGGTATAGGCTAGAGGTGCAGGGACTATGAGAGGATTCACAGTGGGGAGAAAAACAGGCAGATTGACTGAAACTACACTGCTGAGGAGAGCAGCAGGTGAGACAAGAGAGGTCTGCTGCACCATAGTGGGTCACCTCCCTGGCAGGGGATCGAACTTGTGCTGAAGTGACAGCTTTTAGCTTCACTGTGCTGAGCTTTATTTTTAACACATGCACTACCAGGGAGGGCCCTTTAGCTGACCACTCTTAACCTCTCCAATCTCGTGTTGTTATCCTCCATGTTGGGAACCTGGGCTCAGCCTGAAACAAATAATTTCTGGTCCCTCAGCTATTTCTAGTGCTGTCTCTTCTCATGCTTTTGTACCTGCTGTACTTCCCACCTAAGATTCCAGTCCCTGTTCCTGGTTGTAGAAATCCTCTCAGTCATCCTTCAAGAGTCAACTATAGTGTCTCCTCTTCTAGAAATCCACCTCCACTCTCCATTCAAATTAGTTTACTTTTCAGGATTAGGTGTCTAATCCTGACACTGTCAGTAGTTCCTACTACCACATGGTATTGTAGTTATCTACTTGCCTGTCTCCCTACCTTGACTTAGCTTCCCTTCCCCTCCCTGAAATAGCACTGCCAGCCTAATACCTGGCATCCAGTAGATATTAAATAAATGTCCTTTGAGTAAGAAACTATGCAAGGAATAGCTGATATTGTATAAAAGGTTTTATAAATGGAGACATTCTCCATGATAGTTGATTTCAAGTATATTTAACTACCACTTAAGAAGCTACCCACAAACATTAGCGTGTGCCAGGCTTTGTGCTCAGCACTAGGAGGAGCGCATAGGTGGATGGACATCCAGGTGAAGTGCTTTCAGAGTCCTCGTAGGCTGACAGATTTAGCCCCCCAATAGGCAGAAGATGGGGCCCTCCCTGGTGGTGCAGCGGGTTAAAGCACTGCACTGAGAAGCTAAAGCCACGTCCGCATGAGTTTGATCCCGCCTGCCCCGGAGGTGACCAAATGGCGTGGCAGACCTCTCCTGACCCGCCCGCTGCTCCCCTCAGCAGTGTACTTCGTTGATCTGCCTGTTCTGCTCCCCACTCTGTCTCTGGTGAAGTTTCTCACTGCCCCTGAGTCTCTGGCCTGTACCCCAGTTCTGTATGTACAAATAAATAAATCTTAAAAAAAAAAATAGGCAGAAGATGAAAAGGTTTCATCACAAAGCAAGGAGTTAGCAAGGCATTTACTTTCATATGCTAACGTAGCCTAATTCCATGAATAGTAGGCTCTTAATGGCTCACACGCATGTATTCCTGCAGGCTATAGTATGGTACCACTTAGCCTTCTTCCTAGAGGTCTCCAGTGTGGTCCTAGGAGGACAAAACCCAAAAAGTAGCAGGCTTGACAGGAACCTGAATGGCCTTGGGTGGGTTTAGGATTGTTGCAGAATTGCAAGTCATCTGAGCCAGAGGCTTAGACTGTCCCTGGTGAAACAAGAAGCTACTTAAACCAGCTAAGTTCCTTAGAAGTGTTCTGGGTCTTCTGGGAGAATCTTCACTTCTACTTCCCGGCTCATTTGCTTGAGCCTGCAGGTTAGTTCTGAATTCCAGTGTGACTCTCAGACAGCCTCTCACCAGAATCCCTTGTCAGTCTCTGGGTACACTGCCATGTAGTGATGCTGCCTTTGGTTCTTTAGTCTGTTTGAAAGCTCTGAGTCTGTCTCTCAGGAATGAGCAATTCCCCCAGAGCCTCTCTACTCAAATAAAATAGATACCTAGTGGAGGAAAGGAACTCCTGACAGGTCCCCCTGGGTCAAGGGGTGGAAACTTGGCACCAAAGGGATGCCCAGTTCTCCTGATCATTGCTTCAGGCTTTTTCATTGCTTGCTTTTGTTTTTGTTTTAGGAGTTTAGAATGGAAATGGACTATAAACAATGGGTAGTTGACTTTGTTAACCAGTCCTTACTTCAGCTAAGCACCTGTGATGTAGAGAGTAAACGCTATGAGAGAACAGAGTTTGCAGAGCACCTGGGAGAGATGAACCGCCAGTGGCACCGGATACATGGAGCACTAAATAGAAAGGTACGTGTCTGTGTTATACTCTGAGGTGTGATTTTGGCCTCCACAAATTACCACTTTCTGAATAGTTTTAAAAGACATCTACATAGGAAATGCAATCATCATCTCAATTATTGCTGTCATCAGTCCTGCATTTTCAGCAGTTGTCGGTGGTGCATGTGAGTATGAAAATAGTTCCTATATTTCTTCTGAGATTTCTTAGTGGGAAATTGAATTAGGCAAGTGGAGAAGTTTTATGTAAGATGATGTCAGGTATTATGTGAGATTACTAAATGGTCAGAAATTTTGACATTTCCTGTGAATGTAGGTGTTCAAGAGGGACAAAGCTATTTCAGCTTCAAAAAGATCATAAAAGAAAAGGAAAATGTATGTGATTTTTCGGTAGATTTTTATTCCCTGACTCTAAAATGATTAAGAAAACTTGGAAAAATAGTACTTCAGAAAACATTTACTATCTATAATTACTATCTATAATTGACTATGCTAATTGGCTGATTTCTTTGTTGTATAAAAGATGCATACAAATAGATTTATACCAATTAAGACTCAAGTACATGAATGAACAAGAACATGAACAGACGATTCACAGAAACAAAATTACCATTAGCAAATAAACATCAGACGATTGTAACTTTAATTATCTGGCGTTTAAATAAGCATTAACATACCATTATACATTTATTAAATTAGAAAAATATAATAGGATAAAGATAAATGTCCAAAGCTATCACATTCATATGTTGCAGAACTGGCTCAAGTACCCTTGTGGAAAGCATTCAGAAAATTTCAAGAACCATAGCAGTCATCTTATCTGTTAACCCAGCAGTCTATCTCTTACACATTTCTTAAGTAGATTGTCCTACAAAAAGGAAAAGATGTGAATGCAGTGTGTTCAATTCAACATTTATACTGGTGAGAAATGCAAAGTGCCTTAATCTCCAACTACAGAAGCAAAATTATATCCTTTGATGAAATATTGCACAGCCTTTTAAATTAATATAAGGAACATATCGTGACACAGAAATTACTTATGGAATATTGGGGAAAGATATCCTAATAAAAACTATGAACACTTGACATGAAAACACAATAAAAACAATATTTTATTAAATTGATGCATTTTTCATAACTTTTTAATGGTGATTTAATGCTAAACATCTCAAGAATCTAGAGGAAATAAAATTTTCTACAGCTTTACATATATCAATAGATGATTCAGTGAAAAGATTTTAACGATTAGTGACATGACTCTATTTTGAGCAAATATTTTTGAACTCCCAAACAGCCAGCAGATTAACTTTCATTTCCAATGCTAGATTTGTTGTTGTTGTTGTTGTTTTATTATTTTTTTAAATTTTATAATTTATTTTTACATATTTTTTGTGCATTTTTCCATCTCAGTTACTATCCCCTTACGTTTCCCATCACCAAATCACCCATGTGCCATCACCATAGTCCAGTGCATTTCCCTCCCCGCGCTGGTTTTGATTCCATTCCCCACTCCCCACAAAATGTCTTTGGTATATAGCTGTTCATCATTATCATTTTCTCGCCTGTTCCGTTATATTCCTGCTATGAGAGAAGCCATCCATATTTTTCCTTTTCTTTCTGGCTTATTTCACTAAGCATGATCTTTTCCAGCTCCATCCATGTTGCTGCAAAAAACATGTCTTTCTTTTTTTTTTTTGGTTGCTGAGTAATATTCCATTGTGTATAGCTACATCCAATGCTAGATTTTTTAAGGGGTGGTGGGGGTTAATTCTAAATCCTAATTTATGAATTTCTATTCTAATGTTATTGAGAGTCTTACTGTGCAAAATATTTATAATCTAAGAGGAAATAAAATTATCCTATTAAAAATCACACATAACATTTATATTTTAAGACATGTGGTTTAAAATAAGGATTTTTTAATATATATATATTTGTTACCAATTTATAGGTACAACATTTAGAACAACTTTTGGAAAGTATCACTGAGAATGAAAACAAAATACAGATTTTAGATAACTGGATGGAGGCCCAAGAGGAGAGACTGAAAACTTTGCGAAAACCTGAAAGCGTGACCTCTGTGCAGAAGATGCTGCTAGATTGTCAGGTGAGAAGGCACACCTGTCCAGCTGGCTCGAATGATTCAGTCCCACTCATCTCCAAGGACAGGGCAAGCTGCTATAGTTTCTGGGTGCTTTCCCACAAGCCCACACATTTACTTGTTCATGTCAAATAGATCATTGTTCTTGGGTTCTACAAACCTCAAACGCTTTTGTTTACCTGTGGTGAGCAACAGAAGATATTTTCACAGCCCTTGTTCTGAGGGGTGTTACATGTTACTCCCAAAGAGGAAAAATGCTCAAAGGGAATTTTGATTCAGGTATTTTCCAGTTTTTGTGTTTTTTAAGTAGTGTACCCAGTTTTCACAAAATCACTCTGAAGTTTCCATTCTTTTCAGTCTTCCACTGTTTATTTAGAGGAAAACCATCGCCTGCTGTGCACTGTGTTTGAAAAGGACCATTTGTCCTTTGGTTCCCCTAAGCCATACTTGGACCTGAGGATATCGGACATGCCTTTTGTGTTTGTCACTTGCCACTTAGTCCTTGAGGTACCATCTCCCAAATGTCACTGAAGTGTTGCTCCTTAAGCACAACCCTGCAATGCTCCTTATTGTCCCTGCACCTGCAGGCAGCAGCTCTTCATGCTGCTTCCACACCCACTACCTCAGGTCCAGCACTGCTGGCAGGGTGGGAAGTCACGTTAGACCCCAGTCAGGTCAAGTTCCAGAATAATCTGGACAGAAGATGTGAGCAGCAACACTACTGTAGTAGGTCTTTTTAAATGGCCATGTCCTGTTTCTGTCTACCCACAAGCCATTTTTACTTTAGGACTCTTAAAGCCACCTCAGATATGGCATCCACCTCCTCAGTGGGAGACTACATTCCAGAGCCCATTGCTACACCAACCCCAACAGGCCCTATGAGGTTTAAGCTCTGCCTGGTATGGATCATCATCATTGTTTTCTAGCTGAGAAATGCAGACTTGAGGATTTGATGATGCCATGCCAGGTGGAACAGCCAGTCTAGGCAGACATGGAATGGGGACCATGTGTCCTGGTCTTTTTTTACTATACCATGATGGTAAGGGTCTGTTTCCTAGATGCTTCTAAAATCTGCAGCCACATACTAAAAAATTGAATTGTGTTATGATTAAGATCTTTAGGTATAATATTATGTGATAGTATTTAATGGCATTTTTATTTGAATAGTGGCAACTTCTGTCTCTTACATATTTTTAAATTGTTTTATAAAGTAGGGCATGAGAAAATCTTTTCCTTTTGGCCTTTCAGGATATAGAAAATCAACTTGCAATTAAATCCAAAGCATTGGATGAATTGAGACAAAGTTCCCTGACCTCAGAGAGTGGGACAATGCCACTATTAGAAGATATGGCATCCAGAATTAATGGATTATTTCAAAAGAGGAACAGTGTTACCAGCCAGGTACTGAATTCATTTGAAGTAGACTGTTTCTTATCACATATCCTTTTTTCTGACTTGTTGTTCAATCATGGAGCTTACTCTATTTTAAAAACTGAAAAGTGGCTGAGAAAAAGAGTGACGTGTAATGTAGAGAAAACTATTTCAAATCCTGGGTTTTTTGCACTGGATAATTAGAGGCAAATTATAACACCCTTGGCAGGCTAGAAATCTACTTAGTTATCTTCATTTTGTTTCAATATGCTCACATAGACAAAAATGTCTGCATTCCCCTCTGACTTTGTTTCCTGGCCAGATAAATAGGTGCAGCTGTAAAGGAACGACTAGATCCTCCACATATAGGGAGGTGAGTGGTCTTTCTCATGGAGCCTCTGTTAAGAGCACAGTTTAGGGAAAATACCAGAGATGGGGAGAAAAGTAGCATTTTGGATAGAAGAAAATATAGAAGATAATGGAATGACTGGTCATTTAATGAAAGTATATGGAAGTCTAAATTAACTACTTCTAGGAGGAGAGCATCAAAAGTGAAAGGAGACACATCTTTAGACAATAACTTTGAAATTGTCACATAACAGGGGGGAAATTCTAAATACTTAGAATTATTATTGTGTCCATGTTTCCTGTGGAGTCTTCATTGTAGATTACTTTTCATCTGCTGACTCTTCTGCCATTTGTTCCAGAGAGAACTGGGAATAACCTTTGTGAAGGAAGCTGTAGGTGTCCCTCAGCCTCTTCTTTCCCCTCAGGATGGAAACATTAAGATGAGCTTTATTCTGCCATTTGTTAAACATATTTGTGCAAAAAAAGAATATAAAATATTTGTGCAAAGCAGATAAAGGAAAACATATGTTCATATCAAAAGTCTATATAGTGCCAAGAATACAAATATAAATAAGAAAATAAATAGACACATTGTCCTCAAAGAGCTCACATGCTACTGAAGGAAATATATGTGAACAGATTATAGTTTAATGAATTAAAATATAATAAAAATAGAGTGGGGAATTAAATGAGGTAGTAGAAATATATATAAAATGCAGATGGTACTAGTGTAAGGATAAACTTGTGAATGAAAGGAACAGAATTGAAAGTCCAGAAATACTCTCACATCTATCCATTGATTTTTCAGCAAGAATGCTAATTCATTGTTGGGGGGAGAAATAGTTTGTATTTTGTAATGCTACTAGAGGAACTGAATATTCACATTGTAAAGAATGAAGCTACATGCCTGCATGCATGACATATATATAAAACAGTCCAAATGGATCAAAGACATAAGAGCTAAAAATATAAAAATCCTTAGAAGAAACACAGGTAAAAACTGTCATGACATTAAATTAGACAATGTTTTCTTAAATATGATATCAAAAACACAAGCAAGCAAAGGGGGGAGAACTTCATTAAAGTTAAATACTTTTGTTTGTCAAAGGTAAATAAAAGTATCTGGTATATATGAAGAATTACTACTTGATAGTAAAGGGACAAATACCCAAAAGGGGAAAAAAATAAGCAAATAGACATTTTTCTAAGGCAAATATGCAGATGGCCAAGAGCACATGAAAAGATATGCAATATAACTAACTATTTATGAAATGCAAATCAAAACCACAATGAAATACCACTTCACACTGCTATTGCATAGTGAAAAGAGACAATAACAAGTTTTTGCAGGGATATAGAGAAATTGAAGCCCTCATGTAAATGTAAAGTGATACAGCTGCATTGGGAAACAGTCCACAGTTCCGTTCTACCTGTTTACCCAAGAGAAAAGAAAACATATGTACACACCAAAACCCTGTACATGAAATTTCATAGCAGCATTATTCCTAATAGCCAAAAGCATAAAAACAAAAAAAGTCTATAAACTTATTAGTGACGTTCTATATGGTGGAATATTGTTTAGCCATAAAAAGGGATGAAATACTGATTTCATGCTATGACATTGATGGTCTTGAAAACCTGGTGCTAAGTAAATGAAACCATCCACAAAAAACCACATATACATCTATTTAATTTTTGAGAAATTTCCAGAACAGGTAAATCTACAAGGGCAGAAAGTAGATTAGTGGTTGAAGAAGGCTGAAGGGAAAATGAGGAATGATTGCTAATGGGAATGGGGTTTTTTTGAGGGATAATGAAAATGTTACAAAACTGATGAGATTTGTTCACGTAAAAAGGTGAATTGTATGGTAGGTGAATTATGGCTCAGTAAAACAATTACTAAATCTTTACTACAGAGTACGTGAGTCCTCGATCATCTAGCCGTAAATTGTCCAGAGTCAGTATAGCTTAGTAGCTTAGTGCAAAGGCTTGGCCTCTCTGAGGGCTATATATAGACCCTGGAAGCACCATTTTCTGCATTCTAGGGCAAGTCCTTAACCTCTCTAAGCCTCAGTCTCCTGGTCTATGACGAGGGGTGATACCATTCATTTATTTCCACCTTTGTAGCCATGTTTATGTGGTGCACAATCAGTGCCGCCCTCCTGGCCGATTCCAGTTTCAGCTCTTTGGAAATGTTCTTGATACCTTGATTTGTGCTAAATGATACCCTTTTCCTTAAACCACATGTACTACTTCTCCATGGTGCTGTGCTATTTTACCCTTAAGAGCACCTGCAGCTGCACCCATGCTCTGTGTGGAAGCCATGAAGGCCTACAACCCATACCACACCAGTGCTATGAGTGTTTAGAAGTGCTGGGATGACTCTGCTTTGTCTCAGAATCAGCCTGCCCCCAGACAGGTCCCTCTTGAGGGTACATCTGTAGATAGCTCCCTGCCTGCCTGCCTGCCTTCCTTCCTAACTTATTCTTTCTTAATGTATGGAGCCCTGCTTTTTGTACCAAGTCATCCTGCCCTTATAAAGTTATTTGCTCACATAATTACCAGCACAAGACTAACATTTTAGTGCCCCAGGTTGTTGCTGATGGGTCTGTATTGGGGGCAGGGGCTGAAGAAACCTCTGCCCTGTGGATATGGTGCCGCCTGCAGTTGCCAGGCAGAGAACAGAGGGCTGCACACGGGTGTGTGTGGTTGCATCCAAACCTGACACTGCCCTCCACTCAGCGTGCTCAGTTGGACTAACAGAGTGATCATACTCCATTTCTGCTCAGATCTTTATTCTCAATTGAGAGGTAATTCACATACCACAAAATTCACCCATTTGAATATACAACTGTGTGGTTTTCATTATATGCATTATATCAGTCCTTTCTAATTCCAGAACATCTTTATCACCTGGGTCATCAATTGACTTATTATCTCTATATTGGTAGATTGCCTATTTTGTACATTTCATGTAAACACAATTGTGTCTTCTCTTGGTATGTTTCCAAGATCAATAGTATTACAGCATGTACTGGAACTACTTTTTATGAATGAATAATAATCCCTTGTATGGCATTACCACATTTGGTTTATCCATGGGCATTTGGATTATTCCCACTTTAGGCTATTATGTATGAATCATCTGCATTGAACATTTGTGAACACAGGCTTTCAGTGTGCACACCATCCTCCAAGAGTAGGACTGATAGGATACATGGTGACTACATTTAATTTTTTGAAGCTTTGCCAAACTTTTGGACAGTGGCTGCATCATTTGTTCCCAGCAACAATGTATGAGACTGCCATACCTTCCAGACCTTGCCAATACTTGTTATTATTTAACTCGTTAAAACCATCCTAGTGAATATGCATGATAATTTTCTTACTTGTATTTCTTTAATGACTGGATTTTTGGCATCTTTTTATGTGCTGTTTGGCCATTGGCCCATCTCCTTTAGAGACATCTATTCATAATCCTTGCCTGTTTTTTTAGTTTGTCTTTTAATTGTTGAGTTATAAGGTTCCTTACCTAATGGAGTTATATACCCTCGATGTACCTGAAATCATTTAAATGCTTCAACTTCCACCCTCTAATGATTATCAAAACATGATGAAACACACCCCCCACTGCATCCCCTCCCCTGTTGAGAAGTCATTCTGACTGCCCATGCTCCTGTCTGGTTACCCTTGCTCTACAGTAGCAATCACTTAAGTGCCAAATGACACAGTAACATTGTACATTTATGTGCTTTGTGATTTTCAGAACATTTTCACAGGCACGCTTTCATTTCTATGAAATGGAATCTTAGCCTTCTGTGATAATTTTGTTCCTTGGCCCATGAAGCTCCTCCAGTACTCACAAGCTGAAATGCCTAACTAGCAATGGTAGAATCCGTAGAAAGAAAAAAAATATGAGGGGACATTTGTAATTATTTTCTAAATCTGTTTCCAATTTTTCTACAGGTCAGTGAGCTCAAAGCCTCCGTGCAGTCCATCTTACAGGAGTGGAAGATCTGTGACAAGCTCTATGAGAATGTGAATACAATGACTGTCCGTTTATGTTACTGCTTGGAGCACAGCAAACCTGTTGTTTTATCTTTGGAGGCCTTGAGCTGCCAGGTGCAGAACCTTCAGGTAAATTGGCCAGCCCTTGGCACAATACATCATTAGTGGAAAATCTCTAATGGAAGTAAGCACAGTAATGGGTGAAATCACTTCTGTGCTCTCTGCAGAGAAGCACAAAACACTTTGAAACACCAGCATCAAAGGAGTAATTTGAAATTCCAGAATGAACATGGTCATACTTACTGAATTTTTCTTCATTTTGGATGTCCTTAACATTTTGATTTAAATGTTTTGGGGCTTGAGGTGGGGGTGTTTGTTTAGTTTGCTTTTTTAAAGTTCTGTCGTCAAATGAAAGAATATCAGTTGCTTTTTTTTAACATTCCTTATAACTAATCTTAGTCCTGTAAAGTTTGAGTATTAATATGACTGATGTATAGCAGCAATGTGGGGAAACTGCTGTCTTCCTTGGAAGTAGCCAGGCCATTCAGAAAATAACCTTCCTGCTATGTTCTCTCAGTCTCTTCAAGACGAAGCTGAGAGCAATGAAGGCATTTGGGAAAAACTCCAGGAGATTATTAGAAAACTCAAAGACCACTGCCCCTCAGTTGCTGAAATAATTAAAGAGAAATGCCAAGATACTCACACAAGGTAAGCTTGAAGATCCAATGTAAATAGCACATCAGATTATCTTTCTCTTGATGACATGTGCATGAAGTGACAGACCTTATGAAATCTCATCTCCATCATCTGAGATGACAGGTTTGTACTGTTCTGGTCTCTTCCACCTCAGTGGATCCAGTTGAGGTAAGATTGGATGTTGTAAAGTGTCACATGCCCACATTGTGCAAGTGTTTGGTGTCACCACTCTGGAAATTACCTGATCACAGCCCCAGAATAGCCCCTTTCAGAGGACATAAACTAATGCATAAACTAGTGCATCTTCACGGGTGAAGAATCACAGGCAGATGTAGACTAAGTCAGCCCGATGGACAGTTTTTTTCTACTGCAAACATTGTAAGTTGGAAGAAGGGGGATGTTCAGGTACTTCTGATGGCCGTGATGTGTGTGGGACTAGGAGTAATTCTTTGCTGAATTGCCTGTGGAAGAAAGCCCCATTCTAAGGAATACTGCTAGGTTCCTATTTTGCTGAGTGAGTTAAACCCAAACTATTCCAAACTACTCCCAAACTACTCCAAACAGTGAAGAAGTTAAACTTTCCTCCATGTCCTCTAACCCTCCTCCAAGCAGATCCAGCCTCTTCTGTAAGCCAGCTTTGAGCCAGTGTTGAACAAGGGACACCATATTTATATATGCTGTGGTGGGGCTCTCAGCTCTCAATCTGGTCTGTTTTGGAAGACAGGGAGGCAGGGAGTGTCAGGAGGAATGTATTAATGCATCTGATACTGCATTCAGAATCAGAGAGCACCCTCAAAACTCTGGTGGTGTAGTTTGCTGTTGTCAAGACCTGTATCCCCACTGTCACTACTGCACATGTTCAGTTGTTAGACAAGACTATATTGGAAGTCCTACTGGAAAAGACTGAAGAAAATAGCCCTCAAATGTGCCTAGTAGTTCCCTACAGACCATATGGATAGATAGATAATCTAAATATAGATGAATGGAGAGGGAGATAATGCTTTTATTTTAAAATGAACAGATTTATGATTGGGAAAAGTCTTGTGAAAAAAAGATAATTCTCATTAGAGCTTAAAGCATTTGTACCATTTCCCTCCATTTTCACCATTTCTCAGGATTGAGGATATTATGAACCAAGCTTTCTCATGCTTCAAGTTCTTAATGTAAACAAAATGCTCTTAGAAAGTAGTTTGGTCATATATAACTATAATCTTAAAGATAGGTATTTTTATATCATTGACCAAATAATTTTGTCAAAAATCTAGATTAAAGATCAAGATCTTGAGATGCTAGAAAAAAAAAAACTAAAAAGTATACCTGAGCATTTATACAAAAGCAAAAACTGAAAATTGTCACAATAGCCATACTACTTAATAATTATGTAATTAAACAAAAAGCACATCACTTATAGTCCATTATTATAGCTATTTAAAGTTAGACTTGCTTTTTATTAATAACCAAAAAAATATTTAGTTAAATGGGAAAATCTATATATGAAAACAATTTCCTTTATTTCCACTTTCATATGAAGAAACAAATTACTCTTGTGATTAGAAACGAATTAGATGTAAACACAATTTAAGTAAAGCCTATTTAAAGACACTGCTCTCCCAGTTTCTAAAATAGGAGACCCTTCCGTGTGGAGAGGTTCATCCGGTTAGTGCTTTTGGCCACCTTTTACCTTAGAGACTTTTGTAATATAGCAGCTGTTCCTTGCCAGTCACAAATTTGGTCATTTCTTTTGAGAATTATAAATTCAGCTAAATGTCCTAACTCATATTTCTGACCATATATATATAATCATGGTAGCATTAATAAAAAGGGGAATTTTACAGTGTCTTCTCAATGATACACCTACTATACACTCAGAGATAGACATGTGCGCTGTCCTTGTGCTGCCAGGGGAAAGATGGACTAAGGGTCCTGTTGTTCATGTGACCCTGACAGGTGGACCCAGGTAAACCAAGACATTGCAGACCAGCTGCAGAAGGCCCAGAGTCTGCTGCAGCTCTGGAACGCCTATAACAGCGCTCACACCAACACCATGGCAAGGCTGGAGCAACAAGAAGCAAAGTACCAAGAGCTTGCAAACATCAATATGTCTGGAAACAACCTGGCAGAGATCTTGACCCCAGCCTTGCAAGACATAAAAGTAGGTGCAATTGCCCTTGAGAATACCACCCAAGGCAGCCTACTGGAGAGGGCTGTGACCTGGAAGCTAGCTAGACAGACTACAGGGACAGAGAGAAGTGGGTTAGGACAGGTATGTGACAGGCTGTGGAGGAGACAGGCAAGGCCAGGACCTGTGGGCTTGGGGAGACCCCGTGGTGCTCACAGACAAGACCCTGGCAGCAGAAGGTAAGTTTCACCTCTGAACAGACAAATTCCAGAACTTCAGGTCAGAAATTCTCTTTAAGGTTGATGGTGTGGTAGGGGATAGGTGCATGTGGTGAAAGGAGGAGAAATGTTTTATCATCACTTTTTTTTTCTCCTACAGGAGCTTCAGCACGATGTGCAGAAGACAAAAGAAGCCATTCACCAAAATGCCACTCTCCTGGATCGACTCCTCAAGCCTACAGAGTCCAGCTCCCACGTGCTCCTCTCTGGTCACCAGCACTCACTCCAGAGGGCTTCTTACTTGGAAACCATGCTGCTCATGAAAACAAACGAATTTGAGGTTTATCTTATTTTTTCATTCAAGCTGAACTCATGGACATTTGCAGGATGCCTTAGATTCCTTGTGTCCTAGATAGTGTTCTTATGAGTGTTCTGTGGACTGCTTCTTGAGATGCCCTGAACAGGTCTGCCATTTGGCGTGACTCTTCAGCCATGTGGTTCTTAAATCATATGGTCAATGGCCAGATGTTATGCAAACTTTTACTCTTCATTGAACACTATTCTTTAAGAAGAAAGATACTACATTCCATACAGTATTCAGATCTCATAGTCACTTGGATCTCCAAGTAAAGTAATTGAGTCACAGAAGAATCTGGCCACTTGTTTGTTGTAGTTTTTATTTACTTTTTAAAAGCCTTTACTCTTGTACTGTCCAAAAAGCCACAGAGCTCTCATATCACAGCCCTGTAAATATTTTTATTTTCCCTGGTGAAGGGAGATGAATGGACCACCTGCTTAAGGAGGTGCAGTAGGAGAGGGTGACCTATTCATCCCTTGAGCAGATGATTCATTCATACCTGAAAGCTCCCTTCTTTGCCAAAGGCAAGAATGAGAATCAGGAGTTTATCTAAGGATCCACCTTGGAGTACTCAGTTTATAGTGAACTGCTAAGGGTTGAAAGAAAGTTCAGCTTTTTCAGTTCCTAAGACTATGCTTAATTTCATTATAATTGCATTTGAATATTGTCCTTAATGAAAATCTCTTTCATTCTAGTTTGTTCTATCAGAGTTCAAGGATTTTGGGGACCAGTTGGAATCTTTAAAAGGTCTTATTATGCATGAAGAAGAGAATTTAGACAAACTCTACCAGCAAGAAAAAGAAGAAAATTCTGGCATATTTCTGGTAGTGCCAATATTTGTCTTTCCTAGGGACTTAAAGTCACTGTAGGCTAAAAATAAGTTAACAACTATTGCATTTCAGAATCTATCTGCACCCTGACTCTTGAGTGCTATCATTTTTCATGTGATTCATCCTTGCCCAATTTTTCCCTGAGGTCTAGAAACTTACGTCAACATTGGCATCTCTTCTAGTAATGCGCCATGGCAATTTTTATAGATTTTTAAATCCTGCTGTCTTTACTTAATTAGCTTTGGTTAACTAAAATATTCTAGGAATTGGCTGTTACGATTCACTGGATTGTTCTGGTTAGTTGAAGATCAGAAGTAAAGTACCCTGTCAGTTGAGTATTTTTCTTTATTTCCTTCATAAATTTAGTAAGGGATTATGTAAATAATTCCTTAATAGTTAACATAAAAGTGGAAGAATTGAAGAATTCTGAATCTTGAGGATTAAAAATCATAACCTAGATTAGGGGTCTGCAAACTACTGCACAAATCCAAGCTCAATCTACCACATGTGTTGGTAAATAAGGTTTCCATAGCACATCAGTCTGCCCTTCCATTTATGCATCATTTGTGGGAGTTTTTAATGCCAAAGGGATAGAGTTCAGTAGTTGTAACAGAGGTCATTTGACCCCTAACAGCCTAAAATATTTATGAGGTAACCTTTTACAGGAAAAGCTTGCCTCCTCTGACCTAAGCTATCAAGGCATAGTCCTCTAGGGTTGACCTGAATATTGTAAAGGACCTAGCGACTATCTCTGGAATAGCTTCTTAATGATATTTTTATGAGTTTGCTTTATTGTGATTTCAAGTTCCCCCAAAATCTGGATGTGTTAGGGCTATTTTAATAATTAAATTTTGATTTGATTTGTAGGTAAACTGCATGATTTGTTGAAGGTCAAGTTGTTGGCATACTAAATGGGAATTTAAAAAGCCCATTTCTGTCCTCTCAAAGACAAACTGAGATCACTTTCTATTTCCTGGGCTCTTTGAGGGCTGACAAGGTGCTGTTTTTTACACTAGAAAAGACACTGGGTTGAAGACGGGGGGTTCAGGTCCAGTTCTAACACTGACTGTTTGACTGTGGGCAAGTCATTTACCTGTTTAAGCCCAGTTCTCTCATCTTGGAGATAAGGGAGGTCATCAGGATCTCTGAGACTTTCATCATCTAGATCTTACTGTGATCACAATATCTGGAATTTAATTTTTAAATAGAATCATGTGCTGGCGCTGACAGCCCAGTCACCCGACGTTGAACGTCTGAATGAAGTGAGCCTCAAGCTTCCCCTGAGTGATGTGGCGGTGAAGACGCTACAGAATGTGAACCGGCAGTGGATCCGGGTCACAGCAACAGCCCTAGAACGCAGCAGGTGGGGACATTCTATTTCAGTTCAGGTAAAATGAATGACTTGAGCCCAGTATGTCATTATTTCATGCCTCTGTTTTGTTTTTGAAAACTTTGTAGTGAGCTTCAGGGAATTGAATTGAATGAGAAGTTTCTTCTTTGCTGCGAAAAGTGGGTCCAACTTTTGGACAAGATAGAAGAAGCCCTCAGAGTGGCTCTCGCTGATGGCCTTCCAGCCCTCCTAGAACAGCAGAAAACATTCGAGGTAAGCCTGTGCCCCTGCTACCCTGCACCCTCCGACTCGAGCAGGGGTTGGGGAAAGGCAGATTGAAATACAATAGAGTGCTTGTCAATCACTAAATAAAGAATGTGTGTCTTTGAATAAATCCACTGGTCAGTTGATGTAAAATTCTCACACCTTTCATAAATTTCAGCAATTTGTTCTACTACTCTGTTTTCTAACAACAAAACTCTTAGATTTCCTTGCAGCTTGCCCAGAATGTAAATATTACAACAAGAGTATGTTGATGTACATCAGTGCAGCTTTGCATTTTCACTGAATCATCCTCTAAAACATGGAAGCAGGGACATGATAATAGGGACCGTTGCAGTGTTAATAATTTCACAGAGGAACTTTCCCATTCTTGTGCCCATGTATATTTGGAAATATGTTTGGTATTATATACAGGTCCTCCATTTCAAGAGAGCACATAATTAGTTTCTGTAACTGCTTTATGTGTGCAGTGTTACATTAAGACCCTCCAATGAAAATGAAATTTGTTCAGCAAAAAAACCTGAGTGACCTTGAATAAATTACTTAACCTCTTTACACTTTAGTTTTCTCCTCTTCAAATAAGTGTAACGTAGTACTTTAAGTCCTAAGATTGAAGGATAAATGTGACACTGCATATTTTACATAGTGCTTACCAAATAGTAAACGCCTAATGAGCAGACACTTGTAGTAGTTCTTAATGTATTTGCTTCTAAGAATATATCCATAGGTGGTGTTCATGGTCGAATATTTCATTTTGAAAACTTGATCATTTCACATATCTTTTATGCACCTAGTTTTTAATAGGAAATGAAGCTTCAAGATTTGTGAAGTGAATTCTGTTAGCTAATACTTTACATTTTAACTCATATACAGATGCTGGAAGCTGAAGTTTCTCTAACCCAGACAATTGCTGATTCCTATGCCATCCAGTCTTTACAACTCCTGGACACATCAGAAATGGAGTCCCGGTGGGTGTCTGGGTTCAGATAGCATTGGGCAGGTGGAAGGTAATGCAGGTGACGCTGTCCACTGGTGGACTATAGGAGGTCAGTTGTCTGGCTATTGCAGTGTGTGGTCTTACTCATTGTCCATAAAAGTATTGGCGGCACTTTCCCCTGGGATAGGAGGATGGGATTAATAGAGCAGACACTCTGCAAATATCCACTCGCTGAGTACAGTTTACTAGGTTTTTACCCCAAAAGATGCTTCTCGTGTATGCTTCTTGGTTCTACTTCCAGTTTTATGACACCTTGTTACTTGAAAAATAAATTTTTTTAAAGTGCTGCTGTTGCTAGCAAGTAGCTGTGTTGCTGTTGTAAAGGAAGGGATTATCTGTGTGCCACATGTGGGTTGGGGTCACTGGGCAGCACAGTGGAGCAGGATCCCCAAGGCCAGCCAGGTGACAGCCACCAAACCTGCTCACGCAGCAGGGCACATGGCAGACACAGGACTAAGAAACATAAAGCCCGTGTCTGCCTAGTTCTGAGATAGTAAACAGGATGATGACTGGGAAATTGCCAATTACATGCAAATATCTTGTGCTGATGTCTTTGGCAACACTGCCCCTCGCCCAGCCCAAGTCCCTTGTCTTATTGAAGTTGAATGATGGAAAGATTTGTAAGGGGTTTGTCCCCCCCCCCAAGTAAATTGTACCTATGTATAGAAATCTGAGTTTCTATGACTTGTCAATAGTTACTTTTTCTTTGTGTTGAGGTCAGAGTTCTCTAAACATTCTGTTTTTCCCCAAGAGAGGAATTTGTTCCGAAGTTCACGAAGCTGAAGGACCAGTGGCAGAGCGCTGCCCAGGGCGTTTGGCAGAGGAAGGGTGACATCGGAGAGCTGGTGGGGCTGTGGCGGTTCTTCAGCTGCTCTGCAGAGGATCTGCTCCGCTTCCTCACGAGCACCAGCCACCTCCTGTCGGCAGTGAAGACCCAGGATCACTACAGCTTCTACCAAGTTAGGAGTCTGATCCACGAGCTGAAGGTAGCGTCCCTCATAACAGCAGGCAGAGTGTCTAGGGCAAGAGTCATTCGTCTCAGGTTCGATGTTCGCTCTTCTGCTATGGCTCAAGTGTGCTTTCTGCAGTGGAGACCTGGTTGGGAGGGGTAGCACAGCCCTACCGGCTTGTGCCTAGCCTTATGGGGTCTTTGCACACACCCAGCAGTGGCGAGGCTTTTCTTGGGTTGTAAGCCTAAGTATGGCTTAGAGGACGTGTGGACTGATAGATTCATACTACCCAAGCTTTGAAGGCGCAGATGAATATATAATTTGACCACCGGTGTAATAATGTACGTTGGGGCCCCTGTTCACTCTTGAAGAGGAAATTAATTTAGGCAACAGTTTTCAATCAGAAAGCTGTTTGATGGGCACAAGATTAAGTAGTTGGCAATTCCCAGGACATGTTCCTTTTAACCATAGAAACACTGTCTTCACTGCTGAACAAACACCATCCTTCTGACATCCTGAGCTTTTCTTATCCATTTACCCAGGCTTCAAAGATTAATTCAGTGCATGCTCTGGGCTAGCCACTGTTCTAAACTCTGGGGGGCGTTGGGGGTGGGGTAGGAGTGATGTGAACTGAGAGAATACCCCTGCTTTCATGGGCTGATCAGAAAATTAACAAATAGTAATTTGTCAGCTTGATCAGGACAATCTGATATAGTAAGAACCAAGAAAAGTTCAGATTGCAATAAAGGCATATGTAGACAATTACAGCAGGATCGGTGATAGAGACTGGGTGATCTCAGGGAATGAGATGTTTAAACTCAAATCTGAATGATGAGAAGGAGGCAGTCTTGCAAAGATCTGGAGAAAGGCCCTTTGAGAGAGAGAGAGAAAATAGGTTCCATGTGAGAGCAGCTTAGCAAAGCAGAGGAACATAGCTGGGATTTCCCCAGAGCCGTAGCAGAGGCAGGGACTTGGTTTGAGAGGGAGGCAAAGGGTCACCATCACCTTGATGTATTAGGAAGCCTTTGAAGAGGGTCTGAGGGCTTTCAGTGGAAAGAGGAGCCAGCTTGGTGTGATTGGTAGTTTGTAAAGCTCCTCTGGTTGCTCTGAGGAGAATGAATTAGAAGGGGATGCCAGAGAGAAGCAGGAATCCCAGTGCATTTCCCATAACAATGGAGATCATTCTCTCTCACAGCTCTGGGGGTCCACAGAACGACTCCTCTTCCTTCAGTAGTCTTAAGGAGGGTTTTTCAGGCAGCCTGAGTCAGTCTTGGCTGGAGCCACTCAGTCTCCTGCCTGCCACTGAAGGAAGGACAGTAGGAGCTGGAAGAGCAGGACTCATCTTTCCCAGTGAGCTCTCCCCATGAAGCCTCTGGTAGCAGATCACTTCAGAGGTGCACATGCCAAGAAGTCGCCTCAGTTGTCATCTTCCACGTGGCAACATATCAACCTCACAGTTTTCCTTAGAACACATTTGTAAATCAATGTTCTGTTGATTTTTTTTTAAGACTTATTTATTTATGCATACAGAACTGGGGTACAGGCCTGAGGTGCAGGGGCAGCAAGAGGATTCACCAGAAACAGTGGGGTGCAAAACAGGCTGACTGAGGAAGCACACTGCTGAAGGGAGCAAAGGACAGGTCAGGAGAGGTCTGCAGCGCCATGTGGTCACCTCCGGGGCAGGGATCAAACTCATGCTGAAATGGCCTCAGCTTCCCAGTGCTGTCCTTCAACCTGCTGGCCACCAGGGAGGGCCCCGCTCTGTTGATTTTTTAAAAAAATAATAGCTTCCGTTTTGAAAAATGCCATATTATATCTTCCCTTGAGGAAGGAAATTTCTATTTAGAACACAAAAAAACTTGTCTTCTAAACACCAATGATTCAAAATGTATCCATCAGCTCAAAGGGATTAACTTCATTTTGCTAATTTTCATTATCTTGTAAGGAAACGCTTACACAATATTCATATGGAATTTGCTGACACTAGCCTTTTCATGCTTTTATCAAAACACATGTTTATGTGCCCTTAATAAGCTTAAGTGCATATTTTTTTAATTTGTTCTCTTTTGCATTTGTCTTACACATATTATATATTCAACTCTTAGGAGTTAGAAGTCAGCTGACTTTTATTTTTTAACTTATAGATGTATTTATATATATTTACATCATTATTCATGCTTGTATGCATTCTCCTTTTAGGTGTATTCCCCATAAAATTCCCACTACTAGTTTACCTGTGAACCATCACCACAGTCCCTGTGCTCTTCTCTCCCCTGTTTTGGTCCCTCTTCCTCCCCTTCCCTTGCAAAATGGCTCTGATTTATGGTTGCCTGCTATTTTTTTATTGTTATATTTTTTCTTGATTCCATATTTGGTTCCCCTATGTCCCTCCTATAAATGAAGCCATCTGATATTTTTCTTTTTAGTTCTGGCTATTTCACTGAACATAATCCCTTCCACCACCATCCATGTTGCTGCAAATGGCATGGGTTTATCTTTTTGATTGTTGAATAATATTCCACTGTGTGTATATATTCCACATCTTGATCTAGTCATCTATTTTGGGGCATTTGAGTTGTTTGTAAATAGTAAATTATAAATAGTGCTGCATTAAACATAAGTGTGCAGGTGTCCTTTGAATTAATGTGTATGTGTCCTTTGGGCAGATTCCTGTGAGTGGAATTGCTGGGTCATATGGTAGCTCCATTTTTAGTAATTTAAGGAACCTTCTCAAACTTACACAGTTTTCCATAGTGTTTGGACCAGTTTGCACTCCCACCAGCAGTGTGGGAGAGTTCCTTTTCCTCCACAGCTTCCCTAACATTTGTTGTTTCTTGTTTTGTTTTGTTTTGTTTTGTTTTTTTAATATGTGCCATCCTCACTGATGTAAGGTAGTATCTCATTGTGGTTTTGATTTGCACTTCCCTGATTATGAGGGATATTGAAGATTTTTTTTCATATACCCTTGGCCATTTGCATTTCCTCTTTGGAGAAGTATCTTTTTAATTCTGTCCAGTTTTTGACTGGATTGTTTACTTTGTTTTTGTTGAGTAGTATGAGCCCTTTGTAGATCTTTGTGATTAGTCCCTTCTTAGTTGTACTGTGTGTAAAAAGTTCTTCTCCCAAATTTTTTGTTTTGGTTAATGTCTCTTGCTATACAGAAGCTCTTTAGTTTGATATAATCCCAGCTGTTATCTTTTCCTTCACTATCCTTAGTTTTGGGGGAATGTATCTTTAAAGATGTTACTGAGATGTGTGTCATTTAGTGTTTTGCATATATTTTCTTCTATTTTACAGTTTCAGGTCTTATGTCCAAGTCTTTTATCCTTTTTGAGATAGTTTTTGTGCATGGTGTGGGAAAATGGTCTAGCTTTATTCTTTTTCATGTAGCAGTTTAGTTATCTCAGCACCATTTATTGAACAAACTATCCTTGTCCTATTGCTTTCTCCTTGCTCCTTTGTCAAAAATTAGTTGTCCATAAATATATGGGTTTATTTCTGGATTTTCTGTTCTATTCATTGTTGTCTTTGTGGTTTTTGTTGTTCTGATACATATTATCTTAATCATTATGGCTTTGTAGAAATATTTGAAGTCTGGAAGTGTGATACCTCCATTCTTTTTTTTTTTTTTTTCCAGAAGAGCTTTGGCTATTCAAGGTATTTTGTGAAGAATGTCATTGAAATTTTTATTAGAATAACATTGAGTCTGTACATAGCTTTTGGTAGGATGACCATTTTGGTAATGTTAATTCTTCTACTCTATGAGCAGGGCATGTCTTTCTGTTTCTTTATTTCTTCTATTTCTTTTAACAGTGTTTTATAATTTTCTTATATAAGTCCTTCACCTTTTTTGTTAGGTTTATTCCCAAGTATAATGATTTTATTGTTTCAATTATAAAAGGGTGCCTTTCTTAATTTCTTCTTCAGATTTATTATTTACATATAGGAGGACTACTGATTTTTTGTGTGTTGATTTTGTATTATGCTACTTTACAAAACTGGCTAATAATTTTGATTAGCTTTTCTGTGAAGTTTTTAGGATTCTCTACATATATCATCTGCAAATAGTGATAGTTTTACTTCTTTCCCTATTTGAATTCCTTGCATGTCTTTCTCTTGTCTTATTGGTCTGGCTAGGAAGAAGTCAGCTGACTTTTTTTATACCATGATGGCAGTGAGTATTTGCTTGTAAGTTTCAGACCAAACATATCAATCATTGTCCTAGTGTTCTTAGGCCCATCTAGCTCATAGGCTTTGACTCAGTAAAGTGTATCTTTTCATTTCTCTATCCTCCAATCATTACACTAAGAATCTTAGTCATTTACTCATCCTTGGAAATTATTTTATGAGCACAACACTTGGTTGTATGCTTTCTACTCAGGGTCAAACATTAGCTCTTAATATGAATATGTATAAATGTACATTCTAACCAGATTTGTCTACTTTATATCTAACACTTAAGGAATGCTCTGAAGGAAATATAAACAAACACAGTCACATTTTGAGCACATGGGAGTCTTAAAGCAAACATTTTTGTTTTTTCTTTTAGAATAAAGAAATTCATTTTCAGAGGTGGCAGGCCACCTATACACTAACCTTGGAAGCTGGGGAAAAGTTACAGAACACAACTAATGCAGATACTAAAGAGTCAATTGGCAGGAGACTTAGCCAACTTCAGGACAACTGGAAGGACACCAAGCTGCAAGTAGGGGAGATGATCAAGCAACTCCGGAGCATTGTAGAGGTAAATGCACCTTCCCTTTCCCATCACAGTACTAAAGTGCAGTACATGGAATTCTTGTTTGCTCTGTCAAGAAGGGAATGATTTGAGGAAATCACAGTATTATGGATTTTCCAAGTGGTCTTGAGTCTTGCCAGATCATGCCAGTTGCTCAATGTAAAATGATAATATAACACTTTAAAAACTTAATATTAGTATATAAATACTTGAGTTTCTGTTTTATATTTGCTTTTATGAAACAGGAAACTTCTTCAAAGGAAGCTCAGTTCACAAAGCTAATGTCATACTTGGTCTCTCCTTGGGGGTAGAATATGAAAATAAGCACAGTAATATTTCATCTTGCTGCTATCACCGGAGAATGCACTTTTCCATGGAGATGAATTTTCCCGACAGTTTATACCTTCAAGAACTGAAATGTTTCATTTTGAGTCATTATTAGGAAAGGCATTATTATTTTTTTATGCTAGTATGGACCAAGCTGTTCTCAAGGATTCTTTTGAGTTGCTTTGAACCTTTGGCCCTCTGTTGTAGGATCTTTGAGTTCTTATGTAACTTTTATGGATTTTTTTCTTTCTATTTAGTGATGATCTATTTTCACTTTTTATTTCTCAGAGCATATGTCCTCCTCCTAGCCCACTCCCCTCTCTATTCTGTTGTGGGTAGGGGTGTGTGTGTGTGTGTGTGTGTGTGTGTGTGTGTGCGCGTGTGTGCGCGCGCACGTATGTGCGTGCATCCTTGCCTGCATAGTAGACAACCAACTTGCAGGGATGTTGTCCTAAATACAGAAGTAGGTGCCGAGCTCAGATCTGAGCAGCTCTCCTGTGAATATAGTGGCTGAATTTTCTTTGGAAAACAGACTGTGTGAAACTCTTTAACTACAGGCACTTGCAGAGCAGAGCACCTGCCATGTTTGCAAAGCATTACGGTAAATGCTGTTAATGGTTTGGTGAGAGAGATCAGAACTCATCATTCTGTTTCTTTTCACTTTCCTTGTTTGTGTTCTAGAGAGCTGATGTTCCTAGATAAGTGACCTCTCCTTATGTGAGATGTTACAGAACCATAACCTATGGGCCAACCATAGGTTTGTTTAGGTATTAGTTGTACTAAAGAATAATAGTGCTTGATTTTATGTTTCTTTTTAATAGCAGAAATTTATTCTAATGAAGCAGTTATTATAAGCACCTTGAAATTGAAGATGCAGGCACTGTTTGCTCAGTCATAGGCTGTTTAAGGAAAAGAGAAATGAGGGTGTGATGTATTAACCTATCTTTGAGGGGGTGTGAATCTATGCCTCTAAATCATATACAGTGTTGTAAATCATTGTCACCTCAGTAAAAAATAATAGGTTTAACTTAAAAAAAAAAAAAAAAACAAAAACAAAACACCAAGATGGTGTGAGAGAATGGCCGTGACCAGGGAAGGGAGAACTGCAATCTTAGGTTGGCTCCATGTGGCTGCTTCTGCACATATTCCTTGGGCTGCTCAGTTTTCTCTGAACCTCAGTGTTCCCACTTCAGATGTAATTTTAATATTTGCCCTGCCAGGCTCCTAAGGTTATTATGATTGAGCTAGTAAAGTTGCAAATGTTTGGTAGGCTGTGACGTGCACTAAGCAGAAGTTAACAGAGTGGTGATAAGAAATAGAAAGTGAAGCTTGACCACAGAAGGGTCTATAAAGCCAAGCTGTTTCTAGATGAGGAAGAGAGAGCAGGGGATGACATTAGAAAAGACAAGGAAAGTGGGTGAGTGCTTCGGCTTTATGACACCGTTACAAGTATCCTAAGACTAAAATGCTAAAAGGGAATCCTTATGGAATCACTTTTTAATGCAAGTTTTTCCTAAATTAAAATAGAAGAAGGATTTAGGTAGATAAAGGATATGGGGAGAGAAGAAATAGCTCAATGCAAAAGCCAACCCAGTGGCAGAGATGAGCTTCAGCGAGGCACCAAGCCACACTGGGGCCCATCTGCTGTCTTTGACCACTTTCTGCTCGAGACAGGAACTGGGTTTCTGTGTGCTTTACAAAAACACTTTTAAGAGTATGATTACATGCATCAAATGAGTTATTCTGTTGTCACAATTCATTCTTTTAATACTGTTTTCAAATAGACCTGGGACCAGTGTGAAAAGAAAATCAAGGAGTTGAAAAGTAGGCTGCAAGTTTTAAGGACACAAAGCAAAGAGCCTCTTCCAGAAGTTCATGAGGACCTCCAGAAAAAGAAAGAACTGATTAAGGTATTGAAATCTGAAGTAGTGTTCAATATAATCACTTAGCCATTTTCTGAGAAGTTGAAGTGTTTGCCTTTCTGTTTCTTTGTTGAGATTGAATTTTCATGTTCAGTGGAAACATTTCTTCTGCCTTCTAACATAACATTCTACTTTTTGGAGGAATTAGAAGCAGTGCTTTTTGATATCCACATGTGAACATGAGAACTTGCAAAAATTCACTTAGAATCTTAGAGATTTTCTCCAAAGTCCTCTTTATGTTTCTCCACTATCATATAAGACGTGACACCTGAGGTTATATTGAGATCTGTTCCCTTATCAAATGACCTTGTCTTTTAAATGAGAGTAAGCTACAACTAAACTCATTTTTTAGAAGCCAACAGGTTGGGTTTTGTCTCAGATACTCATTTCCATAAATAAGTCAGAAGGAAAAAGAAAAATATTGTATGTATTCACATATAGGAGGAATAGAGGGGAACCAAATAAGGGGCAGAGGGGTGAGGAAGACAAAACTAGGCAACTATAAATCAGAGACATTCTGCAGGGGAGGGGGAGGGAGAGGGCAAGGGATTAAAGTGGGTAGGAAGAGCAAAAGAGACTATGGTGATAGTTCACAAGTGACTTGAGTGGAAATTTTATGGCGATTACAATTTGCAAACTGTACAAAAATGAATAATAATGTAGAGAGAGAAATAAAAAACATATCAATAAAAACTTCCAAAGCATATCAAACTAGCAAAAGTTCCTGGATATTTTAAGCCTTCATAGTAAGTGAGGCAAACTTGTGACTAAAAATTCAGACCAGTAAAATCCCCAGGCTAGCAACTCCTCACTCTCCTCCCTTTATGCAGGTTTGATACTTAAAAGACACTGAGAGGCTATCACAATTGTTTTAAAATCTTTTCCTTCCTTCAGTGACTTCAGCAATCAAATCGAAAAAGTTAGGAAGAACTGTGTTGTCTCATACTTCCCAGCACTGCCAGAAGTCAGTGTTTCTCCCTACCTCTTTTCCTTCGATGTAAAAATTTCTAGCATGCCAAAAAAAAAAAAAACTCTAACATGACAAACTGTCACAAAACCACCCCCCAGTTAAAATGCAGAAGCTTACAAATGCTGCTTCCAAATGTATTTGGAAAAGTGCCTCCTCCCTCAGAGGTGTCCATGACCCTGAGTTTGGTGCTTTTATCTTATCCTATAGTTTCATTTCATGGCTCTGTAGTTCTCAATGAAATATAGGAGTTATGACTTTCTATTTTGTAATTTAAACAAACAGCACCATATTATGATAACACAACTACTTGCATATAAAGCAACTATTTGCACATAAGGCAACTATTTGTCCTCAAGATTTTGAGACAGCAGTGTTGAATGACACCTGTAGCTCATTCATCCTTGCTGCTCTGTAGTGTAAGTTATTTGACTAAGACAGTTAGACGGCTCCTTTCCAGTTACTTAATATAGTCAGATTCTTTTTAACTTTTGATACTCTGATAGGTGTGTGATAGCTTCTCTCTGTAGCTTCCTTACTAGGAAGCTGGACATTGTTTAAGTATTTATTTCTCCTTTTGCTCTGCCCTTCTATTTTTATTCTTTTTTTCCCACTTTTCTGTTGCATTTTTTTTCCATAGCAGTTCCTTATACATCCTACATACTACTTCTCAGTTGAGTATAGACGTTGGTGTTGCTAACTGGAAAAAAAAAATTATTAATGTAGATGAATTTATCTATATCCCTTTTAGGATTTGCACTTTCTGTTTGTTTTGGGAAATCTCCATACTAAAGTCACAAAGGTACACTCCTATATTTCCTTCTGAAAGTATTTAAGCTTTGCTATTTTAACATTTACATCTTTATTTACTGAAGAATTTATTTTTATATATATTTTCAAGTAAAGATAGGATTTTTTTTTTCATGTGGAAAACTGGTTGTCCTGATTCCTGTTTATTGAGTAGTCAAGTGTCTTGTGTCAAGTTTCCATAATGTGGGATTTGTTTCTTGGTAGTTTGTTCCACTAATCTGCTTATCTCAGCTTTTATAACAAGTGATCTTGGGAACTGTGCTTTGTTATATCAAATCTCCAATTCAGGTGTGATTTTCCCTATTACTTGTTCTCTCATGTTAGCATGGATATCCTTCGATCTTTGACCTTCTTTGCAACTTTTAGAAGCTGTTTCTTAAACTATGAAAAATCTTTGTAATAGCTAATGGAATTATATTGAATTTATAGATCAATTTGGAGAAAGTTAACATTTTTTAAATTAAGTACTCCTATTCCTGAATATGGTATAATTCTCCTGTTGGTCTCATTTAATGATTTTCAGTATTTTATAATTTTCTTTATGATATTGTGCATCTTAAACTTATTTCTTGGTATGTTGTTTCTGATAATTGAAAATACTGCATTTTTCTGGCTACCTTTTCTAACTGATTATCCTGGGGCTAGAAAGGCAGTTAATTTTGTATATTGATACGGTATTCAACCATCATGTTCAAACTCTCATCAATTCCAATAATTTGTCTGCATATTCCTTTGGATGTTTAATGTAGAAATCACCATCTATGGATGACTTTTTTTTGGGGGAGAGGGCTTACTCCCTTTAATTTTTTTTCCTATTCTTTCTACACTGGTGAGTATCTCTAGAACAATGTCGAGTAGAAGTATTGATAACTGGTTCCCTAGTATCACTCCTGATTTTAAAAAGAATGATGCTGACATTTCACCATTAAGTGTGATATTTCCCAGATGTTCTTATTTGGCTTAGACAGTTCTATACCTCAAATTTCACAGTTCTTACCTTGTCTGCATTTTTAGATTTATATCGAGACTTCATTAATGAGTATGAGGATTTGGAGTCTCTTTCTCTGTCAGTACCTTGAGTTTCCATCCATCAAGTTTAGGAACTGGTGCAGAATATGAATTATAAACCCACACAGAGGCCTAATTTTTCCCAAGCACCACACGTCTTAGTCTTCAGTGGCCACCTTTCAGCTTCCTTAATCTCACATCATATGGAAAGAATCAGGGAGGGAGAAGAAGGGTATTGAGTTTATTCAACCCATGACCTTACTCCAGAAAGACCCCAAGTAACCAGAAGCCTGTCTATGACAGTGTTATTATCTCTGAATCCCTTGGGGAGATAATGTTAACCACTTAACTTGTCCAATCTTTCCTTTCCTTCTTGGAAAATTACACCCCCAGTATAGTCAAGCCAATGCATAGGGAAATTGCTTTATATATTTTTAGTGTGTGAATATAATACCTTTATATAATTTTTAAATACTAACTTTTTACTATTATAAAAATTGCTGTAGTGGGCATCTGTGTTTATTAAGTTTGCCAAATGACTCAGTTCTTGGGACAGTTTTATTTTTTAAATAATTTTTGAATGAGTAATACAATCATATGTTTCATGATTTAGAAAGTGTGAAAGATACATATGAACATTTTTTTCCTCCCATCAGTGCCTCTCCACAGAAGCAATCAGTGCTACCAGATTGTTGTGCATTCTTTCATAGATATTCTGTGCATAAAGAGGCTAGTAAATACATAAACACACATATATTAGGGTGCATGTGTCCTTACAGCTGTGTATATATATGATATGTGTTTATATGCACATATAAACACATTAACATATATATATACATATAAACACATGTATATATATGGAAATACACAGCACTTCCATCTTGGGGGCTCTTTTTTTTTCTTTTCTACTCAGATTGGGTGACACTGGCAGTTTCTTCACAGCAAATAGTTATGTAGAAAAATAGGACATCACAGCCCCACCAGCAACTGAGTCCACAGGCAGAGACTTAAAGGCAGTTGCCCCCATCATGGAAAGTCCAGCCGAGGCCTGTGCAATCATCCCTTTATGTAGTCAGATCTCTTTTTTACATCACATGCGCTGATGAACAACTGGAACTCGACACAGACAACTCACCCGGTTAAGGAAGGCAGATGTATCTGACTGCCATGTCCGCTTTTGCTGTTAGTTTGATAGTAGACCCAAAAGAGTATTTTAAAGACAGAAGTATGATTTCTGAAATACTTATGCAGTGATTGTCAGTATGAAACGTTTCACCATACACCTTGTTGTGTATAATATTTGATTCCTTGCATTTTTCATGTAATACCTATGAATACCTTAAAGATCTGAGACATTGGCAGAATACTTTCAGTTGTTTGGCTCTCTGAAGATTTAACCTGCACCATCATCGCAAAGGTGCTGGGCAGCACATTGCCAGGCAGGTGCACAGCAGAGCACACGAAAGGCCCACGTCAACCCAAGAGTCCCACATTGCACATACATACTTGTGTGTACACGATTCTAAGTGTGGTATGAGAGCAGGGAAAGAACTGGAGGCTATAACTGCATCAAGAGGGTTCCAATCTTGTCTGGTGATTCAGAGAAGACTCCTTTGTGTCTGAGATCTGAATTGTGTCAGTAGGAATTAAATTATTTTGAAGCATTGGGGTGAAGGAGTAGTAGTATTTTGGGCTCGTATTTTTCATAGTCTAAAATCCTATATCTGATAGTTACCCTAACCATGAAGAAAACCAAACCAAATTGCTCTTCCTGGTGCAGGCACTGGCGCCCACACCGCAGAGCTCAGCTTTCTGACACCCAGATGGGGATGCTGGGTGGAGCTCAGCAGTCCTCACCTGTCTAGCTAAGTCAGGAGTGGAGTGGCTCAGCACCTTTGCGGTGTCCCCCTCGTTGTATGACTTAATATTCGGTCGCAGTCCCACTGCAGAATCTGCTCTCATCCACTTTCTAGAACCCTATGTCAAAAATTCAATTAAACTAAAACACAATGATTTCCTTCTGGTAAATTTTTTTTTTTAAATTTCCATGCAGTCTTTAAAAGAATTCTCCAGATCAATTTATTAAATATAGGTGCTTATCAGCAAAATAGTGAAATGATGTAAGGTGGCTTTTAGAACTCTGAAAATAACCAAAATGAACACACTTTTAGTTATTGTTGCCACTCCTCAGATTTCTTTCTGATGTAGTTGAAAGTCTCCTCTTGCAGATTTCATTAGACAGGTATATAAGTGGCAAGTCTTAAAATGTGCCAAAGCATGAAGAATTATAAATCCACTAAAAATCTGAAGGAGGCTTAAGTGTTTGGGCTGTTTCTCCTGACCTACCTTACTGTGAAAATAATTTTCTTGATTAATTTATATTTTAAAAAGTATTAACCGGACACTTAATTTAAAAAAAATTTCCCATGAGCATAGGAAAGTTTCTGCTAATCAGTATCTGCTAATAATTAGGGAAGGGTTTTCTTCCATCTACTCATTCTTTTGCAAGGTAATTCCCGTTGAACAAAAGCTGTTGGTTATGATTGCCACTGTCACAGCAGTTCGTTCCTTGGGGGTTTAAACACGGGAAGTCGCGCTTGCTTTCTAACTTTCTTGTTACCTAGCTCCAGGATTAAAGGCGGATGGGTGGGGGTGTGAGATGGTTACTACATGCCAAAAATACTTTCCTCTAAATAAAGAGGCCTACAGGACTTAAAAATAGTAATTACACAAGAATCTGAACTACCTGCGGAAATAGGAAATAGAGGTAAAAAAGAGTTTTTCTCCAAGAAAAGGTGGTGAGGAACTGGCCAGCTGCCAGGGCTGTTTCTCATTCCGAAGCCCCGCCCCCTGCTGGCCTCCCCTCCCCCAGAGGCCAATCAAAGGATTAGCCTACAGGTTTGGAAACAACGGCAGTTTAAGGGTGTTTTACTCCCCCTTCTAATGTTTAAATGCAGGAACTAGAGAAGGCTTTGGCTAACTGGACTCAGAACTTGCAAGAACTTCACGCGATGAAAGCCGATTTAACCCAGCACATTCTTGTGGAAGACGTGATGATTTTGAAGGAGCAAATAGAGCATTTGCACAGACAATGGGAGGACCTCTGCTTAAGAGTAAGTCAGTGAACAGCGGAGCCGGCTGTTGTGGAGTTTATTGAAATGTCTCCGAAGGCCAAACGAAGTAGAAAGGAGCTTAATTTCTTTGAACCCGAGGCCCTTTGCTGTGGGAGGCCAGGTCATCGCTGTTTCTTTAGGAAACTGCAACAGGGTTTAAAACAGATTTGATCCTTTGTTTCTCCAGCGCTCAATGCTGAAACTTTGCATACTTTTAATGAGCTTTTTAAAAAGTCACCCTAAATTTGGGGGGTTGGGGGGGCTTGTGTTTACAATTATGAGCTGCTGCAGTCTGTCTTGTGTACATGACTAGAACAAATAGCAGAATCTGGACTCGGCAAAGAGGAGGTCTCAGGTCCGGCAGTAGAGAGCTATCTCCGCGGACTCCGGAGCCCAACAACTGGCCGGAGTGGGGCTTTAATCTGAGAAGTCGGCTTTCCTATGCAATCCCACGTTTCTTTCCAGTAGTTGCTTTTTAAAACTCTGAAAGAAATGTCCCACCGCTCCATTTAGTAACTCCATGTCCCTTTATTTAAGAATGGGACTGTGGTTAGGGTTGTTGTTTCTACAGTATAAGTTTGTGACAGGATCAGGATAGAATTAAAGGTTTCAAATGGATCTTTGTTCTAAGAGCATACAATTCTATGTAAAATAAATTTCTTAATCTCAGTTTTGTGAATTAAGCAATGTATTTAAAAGTTGAAATTCAGACGTTTCTGAGTGCATGTTAATAAAAACATTTTTCCTTCTTGATTGTAGTATTTAATATTCATATTGTGCCCTAATTTTAAAGGTCCTTGTAGAATTTTTATTCATATTTTATATAATGGAAAATATTTGGAGTATGTAGGAAGTGTTCTAAAAGTTAAGGTAGAAGCAAAGACTGGAGCCCAGATGTTCCTAATTGTTACCAGTGCGGAATACCAGCATGAAGCCAATCAGAAAAAAGCTGTGCAAAATGCCAGGATTTTAAACAGCAGAGATAAATGGAGGCCCTGAGGAATGGAAACACAAAGCTTGTATTTTTAGGGTAGTTTTTTGAGCTTTCTTAACACCTTTGGTGGGTGGGTGTGCAACCTTAAAGCATTTCTGCCTTGCTCTGAAAAGTAGTTTTTTTGTACATGGCAGGAAAATCTTAATTTCCCCATCTATAAGAATTTGACTGAGAGAATGCTTAGCTACTGCTTTTAACTCCAAATTTCTAAGGTTTCTTTAAACCTGGTAATTCTTTCATACATTTCTTTAAACCTGGTAATTCTTTCATACAGAGAATCTGATTGGTTCTTTATATTATGTAATAAATTGAGCCCAGTAAGGAAGGAGACCCGATGCTGATGTCAGGGATTGTTAATGTGTAAATGGAGCTTTGGGCAGGGTCAGCCTGCCTGCCACAAGCCAGTGTTGGTACCATTTCCCTTGTTTCCATCCAGAACCATGGTGCATAATGGGTCAAGTGCAAAAAAATTGTGTTTTATTTTACTTTTCTTTGTGTTTGAAATTTAATACTGAAACATTTAAATGGCTGCAGTTTTCATAGACTATTATTACTACAAGTGTCAAATTTACATTGTGATCTAAATTATACCTTTTAAATTAAATAGGCAAGACATTGGCCTGAAGTGGAAAAAACAAGCCAGCATTTTTTTTAGTTATCATTTTTTTAAAAGGGGATGAGTTGAGGTTATAAAATTACAAATTAGCAAGCAGTAATTAATGTAGATTGAAAGAATAAGAACCAGGAAGGTGTAACCATTAACCTTTTCTGTTACTAATTTTTATTATAATCTGATATTAATAGTCATGTGTTGAATTAAATGAAATCTTTTCGATCAGTTACTCTTCACTGACAAAATGAAGTCAAGTAAAGATTGCCAGATACAATCTTTGTTGCTTTTTATGACATTTATCAAAGGTTTAAAAAACTCCTGTTGATGTTAAATGCTAGGTGTTTTAAGAGGCAAAAATAGTAACTTAGGTCTATAGGGCATCTGATTAAAATGAGTGCAAGTCCTAGACCTTTTCATGGAAGGGAGGGAAGGGGAATGTTTGCCTTCTTGCCTGTACTCAGGGCCCAAATGTATTTCTACTCCCAGGTAGCTATACGCAAACAGGAGATTGAAGACAGGCTGAATTCATGGATTGTGTTCAATGAAAAAAATAAAGAGTTGTGTGCATGGCTCGTGCAGATGGAAAACAAAGTTCTGCAGACAGCAGATATCAGCATTGAGGACATGATTGACAAGCTACAGAAGGTAAGGAGCCCCAGCCAGCCGACAGAACAGAGCTGCCTCAGAATCCTCTGCCCTCCTCAAAGCTCAATGTTTCAGTAACATTTGAGTAATTTGACATGTGTTCACTATTTTAATTCTTCTCAAGAAGTGCACAGATGGGCGTTTGAGGTCACTGCAGGTGCCGTGTTGAGTACGAAGGCGAGTTGCCTTCTCTGGGTTAGGAGGTTTGAGCAGGGAAGGGACTCCCGTCTCTTAGCATCAGTTCACACACCAGGAGAGTTATGTTATCGTTCAGGAGCTAGTTATTGTTCAGGCATTCCCCGTGCCAAAGGGAAGAGGCCACCGGCATCAGGGCCCATATTTTAGAACAGCCACTAATCCCAGAGGAAAGGTGGACTGAGTGTTCTTGCTTCAGTTGCCCTGAGCTCCCAAGAAGGATAGATTAGAAGAAACGATGAGGGGAAAACAAGGCTATTGAATTAAGAAAGGCATGATTACCTTGCAGGTTACACATGTGCTAAGTGGTCACTATTTAATTTATAAGGACTTGCTGAAGAGTAAGTTGTCTTAATAAGTGTGAGAATTGTGCTTTTTTTTTTTTTAAATTTCAAGAGGTAGCTATGGCTGCCCAAGGAATTAATTTTCAGTAGTAATTTGAGCTTTGTGTCTTGATGCCTATGTCAGGACTGCATGGAAGAAATAAACCTGTTTAGTGAAAACAAGTTGCAATTAAAGCAAATGGGTGACCAGCTGATCAAGGCCAGCAACAAGACAAGAGCAGCTGAGATAGATGACAAGCTCAACAAGATTAACGACCGCTGGCAACATCTTTTTGATGTCATTGGATCAAGGTAAGAAATGACCTAAAATGACTCCTGCTCTCTAGGTAGAGTGGTTACCTCACAAATCTAGAAACAGAGCTCAATCTTCCTCTAAGGTAAGCCAGCAGTTTTGTGAACATATATTTTTAGTTCACTAAAAATGAGTAATGAATAGAAAGCCTTATGTCAGTGCAATGGGAAGGGTTTTTTTCCTTTAACTTAAAATTTCACATGAATTAATAGGTTTAAGTGAGAATTGAAGGATTAATTTGAAAAGAGATCCTCAAAGAGGTATTATTTCGAAATTCTAACTCTGCTTGAAGATTTGCATGTCCCCTGGATGAAATCCTGCCTGCCTGTTCCTGCCCACGTGTGGCAAATGCATGTAGGTCAGAGCATGAAGCTGACTTCGAGATTCTGGCCTGGAGCTCCCTGACTGCCCCTACCCAAGGGAGTTGCAGGGATTTCTGTAGAGGTGTGCCTGATGTACCCACTCCCAAGTGGGTTTCTGATCCTTGTGGATAGATTTAAAAGGCACAGGTCTGACCACAGAGGTGCAGCCTTATCAGAAATAAGACTGATAACTTTATCTCCCTGCAGCAAATAATGAAGCCACCCATAACTTTTAAATGCCCATCTTCAAATTCCTCTCTAAATACAAACCCTGATCAAAGTGTTACTCAGTTACCACCCAGCATACAAAGAGTGGCCACTGGGCTTTGGGACCCTCCAGGAGGCTTTCCATCGCCACTGGCCTGATGTGTGGGACATGAGAGTGTGCTCATGTGGACTAGAATGTAGACTGTGCAGGAGAGCGTGTAAAGGGTGTGAAGAATCGGGGATTGCTGCAAATCAGAGACTTAATAATTTGGCACTTCCTCTAGCTCACTGTTTACAGTAACTGTCATCGAACCAGATCCAGTCGACAGTCAACCAACTAAGGGCTGTGAGACTTACAGACAGGAAATAAGATGAGTCACTGTGTTAGTGGGGGTGGACCTCTGAGCAGCTATAGTCAAATGGTTTGAGGACTCAGCTCACATCTTCCTGGAGTGGGAGTGCATGGGGATTAGGAGGAAACTGACTGAAGAGTGGTGTTCCCAGAGGTCCCAGATGAACACTTCTCAAGTATTGGTGGTGGTAGAGGAGGAGAGATGCACATTGTAAACAGAAGGGGCAGAACAGCCTAGAAAGCTAGTCAAGAAGGGAAGAGACACTCCACTCACTCTGGTGTGGGATGAAGCCAGAGAGCTAGGTTGGACCTTAGTCTGGAATACCGAAAATCTCAACTAAAAATTTGGCCACCTAAATAAAGTCTGAGTCAGTCATGGTTTTTAGCAGTAGAGTGAACCAAATATTAGGGTGATTTGGCTGGCAGCTCAAGCTGGGTTGAATCCAACTTCTCTTTGCTGCCAGCGGAGGAGGGGCAGGGAAGTCTATGGAAAGCTATTTGATAACTCAAGTGAGAATTAAGAGCACAGCTTTTGAGTGAGTTGTGAGTTTCCCACTTAGCTCACCATGCTACTTGAATAGTGAGCTCACCTTTTAAGTCTCGGTTTCCAAATCTGCAAATGGTGTCAAACAGCCCTGCCAACTCAGAGGCCGCCGTGGGACAGACATGTGTCCCCCATTTGACATACAGCCAACACATAGAAGCCAGCTTTCATTCAGTGGTTATTATCATTGTTGTTCCCTAATAAGACTTAAAACGAAGTAGAATGTGTATTGCATGGAAGAGGATTCTCTGTTATGTCTAGAAGTGAGTCTTTTCTCCAAGCGACTGGTGTCTTTGACTCTTATTTCCAGTACTTAGAATGGTGTTTCAGGTGTTTGTTGAAAGGAATAAACATTCCAGTGCATAAGAGTAAGATGATTTCTGTTGGGTAAGTTGAGTCTAGTATGTCTATGTTGTCACTGTCTCATACCCTAAGTGGCTTGGGGCATCAATCAAGGGTCTGACAGTATCGTACCGTTCTTGGACCATTCAGGAGCCCAAGCAGATTATGTGTCCGGAAGACTGAGTCAGTCCATTCTTAGTCATCTGTATTTTGGTTATTTTAACTCAGTTTAGTAGGCTGTTTACATTCCTCTCACCTCTTTGGGAGATTCGTTGGTCTGAAAGAGATAAAATAGCAGGTGACATTTCTTCTTGGAAGAAATAATTGTCAAAGAGTTGAAGTAATGGCAAATATATTGATTGGCAGTTTTATTCCTAACAATGAACTTTTTTTCTTAAATTGATTTATCTTTTGAGGTGATAATGGTTTGTAACATGATATGACATCTAGGATTGTAGAATCATGTTCTTCAAATGTGTGTGACCACGGTGTGCTTCTTATGTGTGCATTCATTCAATTCTCTTTACGATTTGGAGAGGTCGGTCCCACATTTAGCAGGTGAGGAAGCTGAAGTCACTGACCACAGTTACATCGTCAGCACTTGACTCAACCAGAACTTCAACTCAGGCAGTTGTATCATCTTCCTGCTACCCCAGACCCTCCTAGTTTGTTATAATGAAAATAGTAGAACATAGTGAGACCCTAATACCTTCAAATTGGGGGACTAAGGAAGTAATAACTTCTTTTACCTTAAAGCCAAGGCCAGACTGAGACTGATGCCTGAGAGTTTAGAAAACTGCTGCTGAGTTTTTACCCTCAGGTTGACTGGAGGATAGGGACAATAAACTTGGCCTGGACTGGACATTAGCTCCTTGACTGACCTCTGACACTGATAACATCACTGGTGGGAGGGGAAAGGGAGCACCCAGGCTACAGATTTAGATTTGCAGAGTGCAGGTTGGAGCCAGCAGCCCCCAGGGTAAGCTACTGACCTCATTTGCCCAAGGAATTCTGGGTGCCATTTACTAAACCTTTTGGGTCCTGCTCACAGTATTCTGTTGCCACATCCCTATGTCAGGGGATAACGTCTCTTGTTAAAAGTGATGCAACCTTTGGAGGGTGATCTTACATAGGTGCCCAGCCTCATGACATCAAGATTTTTTTTTTTTTAATTCAAGATTTTAACACTAAGCTTTAAGTTCAGACTTTGGGGTGGTATTCAGAAGTCTAATGCTTCAACAACTTAGATTTAATTCACATAAAAATGAAAATAAAGATCTATTGTTTGGTTCATTTCAGCAAGATAGAAGGAAATTTTAGAAGAATTGCTGAACCATTATAGGCTTGATTCCTTAAATGTACATTGAATTTCTGGTCATTTTGCATAGTGTGCTCCACTATGGGACATGGGAAAGGCGAGGAAACTAGTGTTAAATGACAGGCTCATGTTTGTGACTTCATTTTGTTGCTGTAATACACAACCCTGAAGGATCAGTATCTTCCTTTTTTCAGACCCTGCTGCAGAGAGAAGGCTAATAACCAACCCAAAACAATGGGGCTGAACAGGGTGGGATGGAACCAAGGTCTGCCTGTCCCACTTACCCTGTGCCTCAAAAGAGCATGTGACTCTTTTGAGGCCCTGGCTACTAAAAGATTTATCAGAATTTCTCTAAAACCCCAGGCTCCATGTAGAATTTATAGAGCCATGGTTCTCACACTCAAACTTATGTCAGAAGCCCCGGGAGGTTCATGAAAATGTGGATGGCAGACCCTGCCTCCAGAGACCCTGGTTCCCGGCATGCATGTCTAATAAGCACCCAGGTGTGGTCAGTAGTGTGGTCCATGGAGCACAGAGCTGGAGCCAGCAACGGGCAGAGAAACACAGCCCTGCACCAAGACGCCAAAGTCCCAGACTGCATTTACCGTGAGCCAGTCTGTGACCTGTGTGTGCCTCCTCTCTTGTTGATAAGCTATGTGTAAGATTCTGGATGAGAAAGCATCAGGGCAGCTGTGGATCTGTCTGTATGCATATGCTTCTAGCCACGAGTGCAATCCACACTGACCGTATGATAAGGGAGGAGGGGAAGGGGATTTTACCTCCAACTACTTTTTTTTCCTCTCGTATAATTAAAGCAATGAACATGAAAGATGCATCTTCTGAAATAACCAAATTGCTAACAGGGTTGGGGAGCTTACGCCAGCCCGTATGCTGATTTCCTCATATTTGGTTACATAGTGCCTGGTGTGGACATCAAAATACCCTGAAGTGGCTCTCCATCAGACTGGCTGTGGGGCTTTTAACTGTCCCTGTGAGTCTTCAGTATCCACACTCATAAACCAGTCTTTTGAAACACTATTTTTCGGTAATGGTGTGTTATTCTAGAACCCAGTCTGATTTGATGATAAGCAATTAATCATAAACCATTATACTTACTTGACAGACTCAGTGAAGGGCGTTAAGCCTTTTTTTAATTGTAGCTGTTGGCTTCTCTTCCCTGTTTTCTGAGATAATATCTTTGAAAACTGACCCAGCAAAATCTGAATGCAGGAAAGATGACTAAATGACAGAAGTGCTTTTTCAGAATTACCAATAGGTGCTCTGTTCTGGAGGAAGCCTAGCTACCTATTACTGAGATCTGTCTTGGTACAAGACACGGGGTGATGGAGGAAGATGCAGTCAGCAGACCCATCTGAAATGAAAAGTGGGTCCCTCGCCATGCTCCCCTCCATGAGAGGAGGCCAGAGAAAGCCTCATTTTGAAACATAGTCTCACCTATGACTGCCCTTGGCTTTAAATCCCAGCAGTTGAACTCCTTAAAAAGCCCATTTACTTTTGTTTCCCAGAACACCTCCCCAGCCATTAATCTAACCCCCTCCTAAATCAATAGATTGATCATCAAGCCTTAGAAGCATCCTGCAGGCAAGGAGCCCTGAGGCACATAGCCTCTGAGGGTTCTCTTGTTCTGTTTTTCCTGAGTCACCTTGGCTGGTTGTGCATCTCCATGGAGCCTCTTGAGAGACGTGGGTGGGAGAGAGGCTGTTTTTGAGGACTCTCCCTGACAGCTTATGTGATCCACGGGAGCTTTTAGTCCCTCAAACAGGTGAGACAGCTGCATGGGCGAGAGGTATCAGGACCTTTGTAGTGGCTATCTGTTGGTATTGGCATGTTGAGTGATTTCAATCTTTTTTCTA